CGAAAAGTACTTTTAGTACTAATATACTAGAAGAAAGGCACTTAGGGTCACATGAACTCCAACTTTCTTCCTCTTACCACATTTCTTGTGTTAGTAAAAAGGCTCTGATACTGAAGAAATGGAAACTGGGGGTCCAGCTCAAAGCAGTAAATTAGGGCACAATCCTCAATTCTGTTGTTTTGAAAATATAAGCCTACTGAATTAACAGTAAGAAAAACTAGGTTGACCAGAGGAAGGGTAAAAAAAGACAGAATCTTTTGGTGGCAGTTAAGACAGTCTTACAGACAGGTCAGGGTTAAATCTCTACCTGTGCTGCTGGTTTTCAAATTCAGGTAATGTGGACTGCAGATGAATTTGCAGTTCTGTGTCAAAATGTTTACCTTCACTGTGCCAGTGAGGGTAAATGCCAGTAAGTGTGACAGTGCCAGTCCATGGACTACAGTCAGCAGAGATCTGTAAGTAGGATAAGATATGCTGGTTGTGACATTTACAGCAGAGAAGCTGTAATGTGTATCTCCACAAGGAACCACACTGAGCACTGTATATTCACACCGTTTCTAAATTACCTTGGATCCCAGTAATATTAATGACTGCTTTACCACTAAATGTAAGGAGTGCAAGCAAAGAGCTTTTTGTGACATCCCCTTCATTGTCTAGTAAGTGAGCATTCCCACTGACTGGTTTAAGCTCCTACCGATGTCCTCCTGCAGTTCCAAGCTCCAGAAACACTGTTAAGTGCATCAGGGAAGCAATAATTACAGCAGAGTAAGTGTTGTGTCATATTACACCTTTTTTTTGTAGACAGACATCTAAATACTATCAGGATTTTTGGGCAGGTTCTTTGGATTCTGATTCATGACTGTCCCTTTTTCCTTTTTTTTTTCCTTTTTCCTTTCTTTTTCTTGTCCTTTTGAAATATTTATGATAAAGAAAAACATTTTTTTTGTGCTGCTAGGTCTTGAAGATCAGCACCATATTCAAGCTTATATTGCACTGGCAGTTCAGAGCAAGACACCTTTATTTACTTATGTCAAAAACACTTCAGGAAGTAAGTATCATTGTTCAGCTCATAACAGGAATGAACAGCCATATAATGAATACTGAAATATTCAAAACTTGACAGAATCTGACCTTGCTTTTAACTAAGTAGAAACAATTTACATTGTTTTATAGCAGAAAATTTTGTTTCAGGAGAAAGACTCCCTGAGCTGTACAGATATGGAGTGGTAGTTAAAAAAATAATTTATTGCGATGTTTTTACATAGACAGGTTAACGCTTAAATGGGGAACTGAATGTCTCAAAGAGGGATGTCAGTCACTACGCAGACGGTGCAGGACTCCCCATTGCCAAGTGCTGCAATGGCATTTTCACTGGATCAGATGAGATTCCCAAGACGTAGTTGTGAATTCTTACTGCCCTCATGATCCTACTAGGATTATATGTGTCCTGCTCAACCCTATCAGCAGGACAACTACCCCAGCAATTGTAAAATCCATTGATATGGAATATTTTTAAGTATCTACAAAACATATTCTAACTATCTTAGCTGTGTGCAAAAGACCATCCTACCTTACTATTCCTTTATATGCCTGAACAGCTTCCACTGACTATTCAAATTCTTTTATCTATGAGCATTTTTGTCAACTCCCTTCTCTGCAGGAGGCATTGCCCGGGGTAGCCCCCAGGATTAGTTAGTTTCTCCACCCAGGATGTCAATTAACACGTCTCAACATGCTCCTAGTGCCTACCCACTGGTCTCCTCCCTGCAGGGTCTGCCAGGGGAAGCCCTGGCGTTGCTGGGAATCTGGCACATGGGGGACCCAGCACCAACCAGACAGTTGCCTCGTGACAAAGCAAGCTAGGAATTCAGTCAAGCAATTTCTCACAAATGAATTCACCCTCTCATCTGTACAGAGACAAGCTGGGGAGTTCCTGTAACTAAGCACTCCAGGTAGGCACATAAGCACAGCCCTTGTATACACAGCCCTTGCACATGCCAGCCACAACACAATTATAACTATGGGAAGAACTTGAACTGCCTCCTTATACCACAATTATAAATTAATTTCCATACGTTTTTCCACAGAAAGTGCAATATGCGTGTATTACTTACCTTTAATTCATTTTCTACCTCAGATGTTTAATTTTCACAACAGAAGTGATTTGCTATCCTGTTGACTCTCAGTAGCATTTCATCCCACTTAACAGAAAGGCAAAATTACTACAAAACAAAAATCAACTAATGATTTTGCACACATGCCCAAAGCCTGTGTGAAGTGTACTGACACAATTGTCCCACCAAAATCAGATGTCTTTACACCATCTGTAGGCTCTATTTATGTGTCTAAGCAATGACTGGAAGTTGTGCTGGAAACCAGAATTAACAACCAAACAAGGAACAAGGAACAAGGAAACGAACACACACACACAAAAGCCCGATGCCCAAAGGAAACATGGTATGTTAACATTTCAGCTCATCTTTGCATGTGACAACATTCACAGATTGATACCAGTTGTATTTCTATGCATAAAAGTTAGAAGAAAGAGTCCAAGTGACAGATAGCCAATACATATATTTTTTCCTCAGTTAGATTAAAAGAATTTTATCCAAGTACCATCGGTTGATGAAGACATTTTAGACTATTAAGACACTAAATGTGAGCCTTGTAAACCCAACTTCATTTTTCTGCCTTTATGTTCACACAGAGGTTCCTACCTGCTAAACCCCTTCTGAAACATAGTCAGTGAACGTAGACAAGATTTCTATCCTAATTAACTAGTAGTATTCCTTGAAATAGTAATTATTACCTTAGGTGTACTTCTTTTAGTTGGATTTTGTTTATTTTCATTCTGTATTGATGTGAATGTGCTACAGAAGTACCTATGTAGTGTCATCTTCTTTTACTTAGCGTGTGTCACATGATTAAGATATCACATAAAATCCTTTTCCTCCTTTTCTCAAAAATTCTACTCCCTTTGGGATGGTCTCTTTGACCTCTCCTGAAGTTGCTGCTAATGTCTGAGAATCAGTAGCTGTAGGATTCCCGCTGTTTGGCCTTCCACGGACATTTGTCACAAGGTAAAACACAATAACCCTCAAAGCCCCTTGACTTTCCTCCGAAAAGTCTTTCCTCTCTAATTCATTGCATTTGTTAAAATATCAAGTTCTTTTACACTAATGTTTCCCTCCTGTCAAGGGGCAACTTCAGGACAACTTCAGGAAGCATAAAAAAGTTCAATTTCTACTGCCACAGAAAACTGGGGAAGTGAATAATTTTCTCAGCAGTTAGTCTGCTCAAATATTCACACAGATTTCAAAAGTCACTTAGAGGGAGACGTGGGAGCCAGAGGTGGAGATGAAGATTTACTAAGCAAGAGGCTGTGACTAGTGTGGACCAAAGACTGAACTCATAGCAGAATCTGGCAGAGGACAATGCAACACCTGGGCACTCAGCCACTTCATTACTGTAGGAGTAATATATTTTCATAAAGTCCATCTGGCAAAAAGTTATTCTGAAAATGGTGATGGGTTTTGCCCACCATTTTCTGTGTAGCAAAGAAATTCTCCAAGCAAATGTTATGACAGAATTCAAAAGTATTCCAGACAGACTAGATGCTCTTTCTCAAGTGTTAGATGCTCTGGACTGTCCAGCCTTTTTTCTCTGCCACACCCAGAGCCCCATTAGCCTATTAATTTTCAAAAAAAATTTAATAATTTCTTTCTTAGCATAAAACTTCTAATGAAGGATCAGAACAGCTCAATCAAAATTAATGCTTTGAGGTGTGCAAAACATATGTTTTTACAAAAATGGCTGCAAAGCACCTAATGTTTCTTTAATAGCATTTACTGTCACTTTGTACAGATGTAATAGACTTTTAAAAATGGAGATTCAGGGTTTTGTCTCCACATTTCATCAAACTTGGCACCATTCAGATTTTTTTCACAACTGTTTTTATCTTGGTAAGAACTTTTAACTTTCTGCTTCTCCCCTAGGAATGCAGGACCAGTAGCTGGGAATTTTAAAAAGACATGTTCCTCTTGGTATAAATGAATCCTAAAGTAATATTTTCCAAGAAAAGTGTGTATTAAGGGACAATTTTTCACATGTAAAATTGTGTTTCTTTTCCAGGAGACACTAATTTATTCCCTTAACCTTTATTCTCATGATACTGTGGAGTTTTAGAGTTTATCTTTTACTTTGGTAACCTAATGAATGTGGTTCTAAAAACTGAATAGGCCATAGTGCAAAAACTTGCAGCTTGGAGATTACAGATATTAACAAATACTGTCTTTTTGGTCCAAGTTTTTTTCAAATACGGAAAGGACCTTTTTCACTCAGAGAAGTCAGTAGAAGGATAAGCGTGGCTGGCTAAACAAATATTGGGAAACGTAACAAAAAGTAAGCAACTAAACTTCTATTTGCCAACCATTTGTGAATTATAACCATGCTTTTCCTTCACTCACTTTTCCTTTGAGGAGCAAAATCTAAGCAGTAATAGGGAATAGTCATAAAAACATGTGTCCATCTATGGTTTCACTCTGACTCTTATCACAACTCTTCTTTTGGGTTTTTTTTTCTGGCTTTCATCATGAAGATCTCAGCAGCTCTGGCAAAAATTTGCATAGAAAAACATGGTCAATGATTTCCAGGATAACAGCATCTCTGGAAAATCTACCCACATTTTGTCATTAGATTGGGATTGAAGCTGCTCTGCCCAACTCATAGAGCCACGGTGATGACATTGCAGAAATAGCAACTTGAGAATAGTTGTAAAAAAGACAAAAACGGTGTTAACCTCTCAAAGATCTGGGTGGGGAAGATTTCATCCTCAAGCAAGGGAGGGAAGCCAGAAGTCACACAAGTACACACATTTGCCTCAGGGATCACCCAGAGATCTGTTTGCCTCCCGGGGCCCGCAGGAATCCTCCCTCTGTGTCTCAAGAAACATTGAGAGTGGTTTCCCACGCTGGCCAAAAGGGGCTGTGCGAGGGCAGCGAGAAGGTGGAGCAAGAGCAACCCCAGGGTGCCTGTGGCTAGCTAGGCTTCCAGTGATACCCACTGACCCCCTGGATGGCTGCTGTTGCCTTGTGCTGCAAGTAGCTTCTGTCATTCACCCCAAAACTCTCCTGCTTGTGCCGGGCACATGGAGCTGAAGAAGAACACCTGTGATCACTCGGGAGTGCGAAATTTGGCCTTCCAGGTAAGCATGGTTTCCTTTGCTTTGTGGGGAAGAGGAAGGGCTTAAAAACAAAGAACGAAGCTTACTTCAGTCCCTGAACTGCCGGTATTTTACAGCACTCCACATGCTTTGCACTGATACCCTGCCAAAGTGCAGTGCTCTTGTAATGAGAAGCTGGGGCACCATCAACACATTCAGGAGTGGGTTCTGCTTATTGGCTTCGTCTGCTGCCTGGTATACTGGTATCACTGAAAAGTCTGACTCAGGAATATTTTGTAAACTGGTGGGTCTCACAACTACCTCATCTAGCTGTCCCATCTGCTGTATCAGCTGCTGCTTTTTCCTGAGGATAGGTAATTCACAGTTCTGTCAAGAGGAGGTCAGTTATTATGCAGAAGACATATCTCATCAATTCAATGTATATTAATAATATGAGAAAAATAATCATGTAATCACAGTGGGACATATGTTCTTTCTTCCCCACATGAAATAAGTGCAGTTGTCTCGTTCTGCTCCTAAGAAGAGCACAGAAAGGAGATAAGGAGCCAACCCAGGAGCCAACCCCATTACCTTATTATGTGCATAAGGTAACGTTAACAGCCATTTAAAAAATGCAAGCAGAAGCACCATAATACCTGTTAACCAGTTACTGCCTCTCAGTGCCCAGCGCCCCTGTGCTTTCACAGGAATTAGAGCAGGGACAAACAGAAATTTGTGAACCCACAGCCAGGCTGTGTTACTGGAGGTAGGACAGCAGCTCTCAAGAGTGCTGTGTTAGCAAAGTACCCCTTGCTCTCTTCTGCTGCCTCTAATCCCCACGCTGCCCTGGAGCTCAGCTAGCAGGAAGGGCAGCACACAGCGAGCGTGAGTGTCAGCCCAGACTATTCAAAGAACACAGAAAGGTCTTTGTAGGTGCTAAGAATGCGGGGTATTATGTAACCCCGGTGACATTCAGCCACTCTATGTATTTATTCATTGGGCCATAGAGACAGACATGCAATAGATTCATTTGATAATCTGCCAGTCAGGGAATATTTGTGGAATGTAAGGGAGTTAGGGTCAAGTCCCTACTCCAGTCAATGGTTAATAATTCACAATAAATGGGACAGCTTCAAGAGGAGACAGAGAGATAACTCTCTTAAAATATGATAGCCCAGTGGTTAGGGCATTCTCTTGGCTAATCAGGGCACCCTCAATGCATCTGTGCTTCAGAGCAGACAGACAAGCAGTTTGAACTTGGGTCTCCCTCAGTTCAAGTGAATGAGGTAAACGAGGGCTTCATCTTGGGTGTGTTTCCACACAAAACGTGTGCATAAGATAGTGCAGTCCACTTCCAAAGTCTGTGCCTACAAACACATTGCTCACCTGGGCAGTGTGGAGGGAACACAGGTGCTTCCTTTCCTGGCCATGGCAGAGGTTTGCAAGAGCCTGTAAATCCACTCTGATTTAAATAATTCAATTGACAAATCACGGAGACTGTCCAACACAGAAACCTGGGGCCTGAGTCAGGTTTTCTTGTTATTTTTTTTTCTTGGAACACCAGAAAGTGTTCACATTTACATTTACACTATCTATCTCTGATTCAACATGTAAGTCGTACCCTAGATAAAATAAGACACAGAGGGAAACAGGTAAACTTCTGCATATAGAAAAATAAATCACTTCACAGTAGAAGCCACTGAGAAGAAAATAATATATTTTTTTCCTGTTTTCTTCTATTGATGTTTTCTTGCACAAAGCGTGAATGCTTTTCTTTCTCCAGGATACAGTGTCTTCTAGTATTAAGCAATGAATATCTTCTCTAAACCACAAAATATGAAAGTGTTCTGGAAAAGGATAAATTCAAGTCACTTTAAGTATCAGTGTGGGATTGCACTCCAGAGGTACCTTCAGGTGTACCTGAATCCTTTAATGATTAACCCACAAAGGGATACTGAAAATGAGACAGGGTCAAAGTAAACCTGGGTTAGATTGTTTTATATAATAAATAAATTAAGAAAACAGTTCTCAAGGTAATACAAAGCAGCTCAGGGCCAACAAGTGATGGATGAAGGATCATATAAGAGCTTTATGTCAAGAATGAGAGGCATCATGCCTTCTGTTGTGGAGGAACTTTAATGGAATGAAGAGGTTGTAATATAGACTAATCTGCCTTTCGACTAGTCATTCAAGTGGTCAAAGAGGGATAACTATTTGAGCATTTCTCAATTTCACATTCGCTGTTGACATTTAAATGCACACATCCTTCTGTGATAGGGTAGGATTTTCACTGCATCACAGAAGCATAAAACTTTTTCAACTCTACTGCAGTAGACTCTCAGGAGTCACTTAACCAATGTTAACTTTCAGAGAGGGCATGCATCCATGTAGCATAAAGTTCTATTAACACCGTCAATTACATTTTTAAAAATGCACGATCCTGCAAAATATCAACTACTTCTTTTGTACACTATGCAGATGCCATTTGACCTATTTATAGGTAGAACTTCCAAACCTGCAGGTCCTGTGTTATTGCCTTGTTGTAATGTCAGTACCTGGGAGACACAGAAACAACTTTTTTATCTCATTAACAGCTGAAAATGATCTCAGAAGCAAACAGACAACAAAACCCAAATGCACAGCTCTGCTGTATTGCTTTCTCTCTCTTTCTCTTTGATAATAGGGACATCTCAGTTACTAGCCATACCAGCCATCTGGGTGTGTTAAAATGAGTAAGCTTCTTGTATTGATTTTAAGAAGATACAGAGGTTAAGCTTAAAGATACACAGCCAATCAAGCACACTCCTAACCTTCAGTACAATGTATGCATAATAAAACCCCAATACAATTGTTAAAACCTACAGGCTAAATTTACCTGCTCTGGATGCTGCCTCATAGCTAGCATCAACAGATTGTTGCACTATTCACACTGAGACATACAGGTTTTTAATGTTTTTTCCTTTTAAATATGCCATGTAATTTAAGGAACCTAAATCATTATGCTTATAGTCTCATCACTCTCCAGAAGATTGTCCATGTTAAGTGCCTACATGTCAATGTAATAATTCTGTATCTATATCTACAATAATATCATACATAATGTTTAGAAACACTACTATGTCTCTTGCATTCCATGTGGTTCCATTATTTTCTCTCTGCTGGCAGTGGCTGGGGATTACTACAGTTGCGCATGGAATTTTCTGCTCAGAAGCCTGCAACATTAGATTTAAGATTAGATTTACCTAGCTTGTATTTAGCCCTCATTTAAGAGGCAAAGATGTTACCTCATCAGTTCTGATGATTCAGATCTCTGCTAATGATAACATTAAACAACAAGTCACACTTAGTTCTGAAGGAATGATAAGAGCTGGGTCATAAAAAGGAATGGTAGGTGGGACAAAAAAACTCCCTGATTTTTAAAAGTAAGAGGTAAACATAAAATAAATATAATGCAAAGGGAAGGTAACAGCTAATAAATATTTATTGTTCACTGGCCTCCTATTGTCGGTCTTATGATGCATTAAGTAGTCCATACCTGTTTCTGTAGCATTGAGAAGCTGATTTGAGGAAGAATCCCCTTTGAACTCTGCCTTTTACTCATGCTACATAAGGACACTGGTACTGCCATAACATATGCAGCTTCTGTACTCCATTCAAATTTATACCATATTCTAAAAAGGCCTGTTGTTTCTGTGTTTATTGTCATTCTCCACAGCTTCCTAGATACTCTTGTCTGGTTGGTTAATTAAGACTATAGACGCTAGTAAGAATTTATATTTAATGGGCATCATTGTTGCAACTTCCCTTGGAAATTATTACGGCGTTGCACTGCATAACACCACTGGCAGGGAAATATGCAGTCCTTTTTCACATTTGCAATGCTTGCTTTCCAAAGCCATGCTTTTTTTAAAGAATTTTAACTGTGACATACTACTTCATCTCTTAGAGGAAATAGTGAAAGTTAGTCCTACCTTTAGGTCCCTTTTTTCTCAGGCTAAATGAATATTCCTTGCAAAAACTATTTTTAGGATTCTTGTTCTTGTCATCCTCATTGTGTTCCTGTTTGCCATCAACAGATGTTTTGAATGCCATAACAGCAGGGGTTATGTGCACCTTGCTACCTTCTCAGGAACATGCAGATCTTTTTTCCAGTTTCAGTTTTTCTGCATTTTGCTTTCTCCCTCTCATGCATTTTACTTGCTCTGAGAGCAAATGGATTTCTTTTTTTTTTTTTTTTTTTTTTTTTTTTTTAAGCCTCTCCCCTGTTGCTACATTTTTTTTTCCATGGAGAATTGACTTGATTGTTCTCTTTTTTTTTTTTTTTTTTTTTTTTTTTTTTTTTAATGGCCAGCTTGTGCCGGTCTATCATTTTAACTTTTTTATCCTGCATTTCAGGATACTATCCAACTATCCTTCTCCAGAGTGACAACTTAAGCTTTTAAAGAAAACCACTAATGTGCTCAGAAGTTTGTAAGCCTTATTTAGAACCCATTTCAAAACACCTCAGAAAGATTTAGCCAGCTGGATTTAAATCTGGCAGTACATGTGCCTTATCTGTGTCTCTACAGCGCATTTACTGTAGTTTAACACATGGATAATGAATATTCACCCCTCCTGCCCTGTACACTGAATTTTATCATTTGACAGGAACGTATGAATGTTATGATTATTGTTCAAAAAAATTCTTCCTCAATATTTAAAATGTATTTTAACTCCTTCAAAATCATGACACTGTGGCTAGCAAAAGGTAGTACCTGAGGAAAAACTTGGATGAATGCTCTTCAATTGCACTGAATAATAAAATACCAGAGTTTTGAACTGTAAATCAGATGGCTTCATTTCAGATGACGGAATGCTATCTGAAATCAAACGAAATCCAGCATAATAACCTAAAACATTTGCTTTTGAAGCCTCGGTTTTCTACAGAGTTCCTTAAGTACCCTGATTCTAATCTCCAAAGCTAATGTAATAATCCACCATTAAACCATAAACAGTTTAAGCAGCTGCCTGGGTGCTCCAGGGGTGATCCAATCTGTTTTCAT